TCAAATACTTGAATCGCTTGATCAGTTACATGAACGACTGAATGTGATTAATGGAATTCAAGGCGATTATTATTATAACGGTCCAAGTAAAACGGAGGTTCATTTTTCAGCCATTTCGTGAGTATCAAGCCATCATCTATTTACATCCTCTAAGCACTCATGACCAATTCCTTCGGTAATATTTGATTTCTAGAAAAAAACTTGATAAAGTCATTAATAATATCGCCAGCCTCGAGACAAGAATATCAAGAATGTCCGCTGGTGGCAGTGTCAGCAATGACTATTCAATTCGAGAATTAAAAGAAGATCTACAACGGATGGTAGGAAAGATTGAATCGTTAGACGTAAGTGTCATCCGGTCGTCTTTTCCCATATAGTTTATTTTATCCGTTCTTGGCGGCTAACATTTTTTATTAATAGGCACGTATAGCAACCCAACGATATAATCAGGACTTCACAAGAAAACGAGAGTCAGATCAATCGCACGCCAATTCAACGTGGATGAATTTATTTTATCTTTTATTATTCTTTGTATTTCTCTATGGCGCATATGCATTATATCAAACGAAAAAAGAATTGAACCAAAAGAAATTTATTTGAAAAATTTATTACATTATTCTTTTTTTATATAGTTAAATAATAATTAGACAAAAATTACATATAAAAAAAAAAAAAACCACGAGGGTTTATTATTTTAGCAGTCTAGGCCAATAGGAATTCAAGATTTATGATACTTGTATATAAAATTGTCAATTATAAGTGGTTGAATCGTTATTAATCCTTTTAATAAATAATTTAAAAAAAACTTTTTGAGACGAAAACTTTGGCAGGTGCACGCACTGCAAATTCAATAATTATAGTATATACTGTATGTTATTCTTAATAAAATTTTATTAGTATCATCTATAATAAAACATATATTTTATTGATAAATAAATAAATAAATAATTTTTTTTTTATGTATTTAAAAAGATTTTGCAAATGATCAAACTTAAATATGATAGATAATACTTTAAGTGCATCCTCTTCTACAATCGATGGTCGCTTTCTCAAAAAAAACATATTTGTGGAACGAACCGCGCGTTGCATTACTTCGTGCATGCTTATTATAATTTTATCAATAAAGCTCAAGTTTTAATTCGCAAAAAGAAATTTACATGAAGATATGGTTGATTTATGGACATTGTTTACTGTAACGAATGTTATTAGTTTGCTAAACATACAGCAATGTATTGTGAACCATTCCATATACAGCCATTCTCTCGTGTGAAAAATATTATTGTCCTAGAAATTTCCCCAAATGTCTTTTTTTCATTAACCTCATTGTTTCACGTCTTCAAACTTGTTATGGTAAGACTGAATAAAAAGGTATATACAAAAGCTAGCGGAATTTCCGATGCATCACAAATGCAATAGTTATTTGTACGGTACTGGAATGTTTCGGCAGATCCGCGGAGATATGAGGAAATCATATTCGAAAAATTTTTTTATAAAAACCTCGTTTTTTTCCTTATCTCCTCGTCTACGCTAAAATATAATCTTTATAATAATATGGATCTAAGGAAATCATAAAAGTAATAGAGGTCCCGTTATGCTCCACCCATATGGTCATTATTAACTGCACTCGAATGTGAATTATCATCATTCACTGGATATGGAATAACCGTATTAAATCCAGAAACAAAATTAGATCTATTCGAATCCATTAGTGACATCGGATCTATGAATATCCGATGGGATAAAGGAGTCTTATTGAATGAAGAAT